AGATTTCCAGACCAAGACAACCTGGATGATTGATCAGAAAGGTGTATCGCACCAGCCTGGGAGCAGAGCTCAATGAGGTGCGCAGGCCACAGTGAAACTGGAGCAGGCCTCAGAGGACTGAATCGCGGGCAGCTGTGGAGGTTTCCAGACTCCTCAACCCACTAATGCCAAAGACAACTTAGGTCAGTGGGAAAAGTCTGTTTCTGTGGTACTGAGACAAGAAGGTGGGGTCTCAGCTTCATTCCCCAAGAGTGTGGCCCTGGGGGGGGCAGCTGCTTCCCTCCCACTGACTGAGGGGAAATCCAGTGGCTGATCAGAGAGGGATTGCAGGGATCTCTTGCTCTGCCCGTGTGTATCTGGGTTACAGTTCTGGGTGGCAGTCCTGGGATGAGGAGGAACGCTGGCATGGTGGAGCTTATACTGGCTGTAGAGAGGAACCCCTCACAGGCAAAGCCAAGATGGCAGAGTGAAAGTAGTGATTTGCTTGAGCTCTCCTCCAAACCCCTGCAAATACTCATTAAAAAATGGCTCTAAACAAATTCTGAAGCAGCAGAACCCATAGAAAGACAGAGTGAAACAAATTTCCAGGCCAAGACAACCTGGATGATTGATCAGAAAGGTGTATCTTGCTGGGGTGGGAGCACAGCGCAGCGCGGGGTTGGCGTGCAGAACGCAGTGAACCTGGAGCAGGCCTCAGAGGACTGAATCACGGGCAGCTGTGGAGGTTTCCAGACTCCTCAATCCACAAATGCCAAAAACAACTTAGAAGTTCAGTGGGAAAAGTCTGTTTCTGTCGGTGCTGAGAAAGGAAGGTGGGGTCTCAGCTCCATTCCCCTAGAGTGTGTCCCTGGGGGGCACAGCTGCTTCCTGAGCTTCCAGCCCACAGACTGAGGGGGAGTCAGAGAGGGATTGCAGGGATCTCTTTGCCAGTGCTGAGGTAGGAATATCTTGCTTTGCCCGTGTTTGGATCTGGGCCACACTTCTGGGCTGCGGTGCTGGGGTGAGGAGAAGCGCTGGTGCCATGGAGCTTGTAGTGGCTGTGGACAGGAACCCCTCCTCACAGTTACAGGACAGAAAGGAGTACTTGTGGTCACAGGCCAGGAAAGGAGTAAACACCTCACCCCTTATCATACCACCTTGGAAGAACTGAAAATTTACAGGGCCCTACAAGTATCTCTGAAAACAGCTATACAAACCCCTGAAGCTTGGGACAGTACATTCTCCACGTTGGAAGCAGACTCTTACCTTAACAAAGAGTTTAAACTCAAGTAATTGGACGGGATCATGACCAAGTAGCACAAAAAGAGTCAGACTATATTATCTTACTTTGGTGACAAAGAAGATCAAAATATACAACCAGAAGAAGACAACAAAGTCAAAGCTCCTACATCCAAAGCCTCCAAGAAAAATATGAATCAGTCCCAGGCCTTGGAAGAGCTCAAAAGGGATTTTGAGAAGCAAGTAAGGGAAGTAGAGGAAAAACTGGGAAGAAATGAAGTGATGCAAGAAAATCATGAAAAACAAGTCAACAGCTTGCTAAAGGAGACCCAAAAAAATACTGAAGAAAATAACACCTTAAAAAATAGCCTAACCCAAATGGCAAAAGAGGTCCAAAAAGCCAATGAGGAGAAAAATGCCCTAAAAAGAAAAATTGGCCAAATGGAAAAGGAAGTCCAAAAGATTACTGAAGAAAATACTTCCTTAAAAATTAGAATAGAGCAATTGGAAGATAGTGACTTTATGAGAAATCAAGACACTGTAAAACAAATCCAAAAGAATGAAAAATTAGAAAACAATGTGAAATATCTCATTGGAAAAACAACTGACCTGGAAAATAGATCAAGGAGAGAGAATTTAAAAATTATTGGACTATCTGAAAGCCATGATCAAAAAAAGAGCCTAGACATCATCTTTCAAGAAATTACCAAGGAAAACTGCCCTGATATAGTAGAACCAGAGGGCAAAATAGAAATTGAAAGAATCCCAGATCTCCTCCTGAAAGAGATCCCCAAAGGAAAACTCCTAGGAATATATAGCCAAATTCCAGAGTTCCCAGGTCAAGGAGAAAATATTACAAGCTGCCAGAAGGAAACAATTCAAGTACTGTGGAAACACAATCAGGATAACACAAGATTTAGCAGCTTCTACATTAAAGGACCACAGGGCATGGAATATAATATTCCAGAGGGCAAAGGAGATAGGATTACAACCAAGAATCACCTACCCAGCAAAACTGAGTATAATCCTTCAGGGGAAAAAATGGTCATTCAGTGAAATAGAGGACTTTCAAGCATTGATCAGAGCTGAATAGAAAATTTGACTTTCAAATACAGGACTCAAGTGGAACATGAAGAGGTAAACAGGAAAGAGAAATCATAAGAGACTTATTAAGATTGAACTGTTTACATTCCTGCATGGAAAGATGATATTTATAACTCATGAGACCTTTGTCAGTATTAGGGTAGTTGGAGGAAAAAAATTATATGTATGTAATGTAGATAGATAGATAGAGGGCACAGGGTGAGTTGAAGATTAAGGGGTCATATCTGGAGAATAAAATTAAGGGATGAGAGAGGATTATACTCAGAGAAGAAGAAAGGGAGAGGTAGAATGGGGTAAATTATCTCACACAAAAAAAAAACAGAAAAGAAAAGTCTCTTACAGTGGAGGGAAACAGGGGAAGAGAGGGAGGGAATGAGTGAATCTTATTCTCATAGGATTTGGCTTAAGGAGGGAATAACATACACATTCAATTGGGTATGGAAATCTGTCTTACCCTACAGGAAAATAGGGGGAGAAGGGGACAAGAGAGCAGGGGGATGATAGAGAGGAGGGCAGATTGGGAAAGGGGTAATCAGAAGTAAATACTTCTGAGGAGGGACAGGGTCAAAAGAAAGAATAGAATAAATGGGAGGGCAGGATAGGATTAAGGGAAATAGAGTTAGTTTTTCACAGCATGTCTACCATGGATGTGTTTTGCATAGCTGCACATGTTGAGCTGCTTGCCTTTTCAATGAGGGTGGGTGGGGAGGGAGGAAGAAGAAAATTTGAAACCTAAAGTTTTAAAAACTATGTTTAAAAAAATGTTTTCACATGCTACTGGGAAATAAGAAATACAGGAAATGGGGTACAGAAGTCTATCCTGCCCTACAGGAAAATAGAAGGGGAAGGGATAAGAGAAGGGAGAGAGATAGAAGAGAGGCAGACTAGGGGAAGGGATATTCAGAATGCATGCCATCTTGGGTGGGGGGAGGAGATGGGGTGAAAATTTGGAACTCAAAAACTTGTGGAAGTGAATGTTGAAAACTAAAAATAAGTAAAGTTATATTAAAAAAAAAAGAAAAAAAAAAGAAACTCCATCTCAAAGCAACATGGCCAAGGGTCAAGGTTGGGTAGAGGGAGGAGAGAAAAAAAAATCTCTCCTCTCCTCTCTTAGGGGTTTGTTTCTTTCTATACTTCTGGGTACTGGTTTGAAACTCTTCAACTTGCAAATTCCTGAAATTTATCTAGAAATTAGCCACAAAATTGTGGCTAATTTGTTTGTTTAATTAAGTTATTTGTTCTCTTCTTAACTCAGACAATTTCTACCTCATAGAGAGATCATAAGATGTTATACCTTGCTAATTGGATCATGATGTGTTAACATGTGGTGACTATAGCAATTGAGATGGAGGGTGGAGGGAGAAATCGCATGTCTTCTGTTACACGTCTATATTTTTGTCTGTTCTTATATGTGTACGTGTTTTCCTGATGTGATATAAGCTTCCTAAGAGCATGGACTATTTCATTTTTAAATTGTCTTTGGCATTGGTGGATTGAGGAATCTGGAAACCTCCACAGCTGCCTGAGGTTCAGTCCTCTGAGGCCTGCTGCAGGTTTGTGGCGCCATGCTGTGCTGCGCTCCTAGCCTGGTGCGATACACCTTTCTGATCAATCATCCAGGTTGTCTTGGGCTGGAAATTTGTTTCACTCTGTCTTTTTGTGGGTTCTGCTGCTTCAGAATTTGTTTAGAGCCATTTTTTATGAGTGTTTGCAGGGGTTTGGAGGAGAGCTCAAGCAAGTCACTGCTTTCACTCCGCCATCTTGGCTCTGCCTCGACTATTTCATTTTTGTAGGTTAGCACAGGGATTGGCACAAATAAGTCTTAAATGCTTGATTGATTGATTAATGTTGAATCATTAATTTTATCATACTGACACAGCCCAATCACGCACAATGAACATCTCTCTCATTGTTTAGGTATGTTTCTTTTACTTATGAAAGAAAAATCTTGTAATTTTTAAAGATTTTTAAAAAAGGGCATGCTGTCCTCCTTAAATACAAGTCACTGGTGTGCAATGATATCCTTTTCTGTTGTCAGAGAATGCTATTTCTATAACCATAACCCCCTAATGAGATCTTTTTTGTTTATTTCTGTCAGTATTCAAAGGGTACCCCATCAGGCAGTTGGAATGTAGTCACTAATAAGTTCATTTTATGGGCACACTAGTCACTCATCAAGCTAACTATTAAGGAAGAAATTACCTACAAAGAACAAAGTTGAAAAGAAAGCAACAAACTCTCAGGCATTGCCATAACATTTAAAAAAGTTTTATTAGTAACTTTTATTTTTATATCACGATCATTTTCTAGATATATTGCCCTCTCCTGCTCCCAATTTACTGAGCTTCCCCTTATGCAAAAGAAAAATAGTTGAGCAAGAGCAATTGACGCTGCAACCCTGCCTGATGGCGTATATAATGTTCTGCACCCATAGTCCTTGTTTTTCTAAGGAAAGGAGAGAGACCTATTTCCTCATCTCTTTTGTGGATCTAGTATTGTTGCCATTACATTTACAAAAACAAAGGAAAAGGTAATCTTGTGAATCTGGCTGCAATGTTAATGTCAGAGAAATTAATATCTATGTGATATTATCATCCATATACCAGTGATTGTGGCAAGTGGTGATTAAGTCCCTTTTATCTTACAAAAAACCATCCTTAGTTCCACTAATGTCAAAAGTGTAGCTAGCAAATTCAATTTTCAATTTTGACAGCTTTCTTTAAGATACGAAGCCTTGACATAACCACATCCCAGTCTGCGTAACCACCTTCAAGATGGCGAGATATTTCTGTTCCTGCTTCATAACTCCGTCGGCCGTGAAGTAAGCGCCAGTTATCGAATGTAATTACATCACCTAGAACAGATCATTTTGAAACATAACAAAGCATATGTTTAATATATGATTTCATTAGAAAATGCAAATACCTTAAGAATTGATGTCCTCATTTGTCATATCTTTCTTCACTTGAGTCAGATCACATCACGAGGTGCTTTAAGACTTATGATACTAAAATTAAATGCTGTAGCCTATTTAAAGGTTCTGGTATTGCTATAGTATTAAAAAGGGTCATTTTCCACAGTGAAACATAAATCAGAGGAATCTTCCATATTATTAAGACAATGAAGAGGAACTATTCTCCACTTTAGACAGAAAGGACTCACAGAAAGTAGAAACTAATAGAATCAGAGAATTGGAAGAGATCTTTGATTTCAACTAGTCCACTCTTATCATATTAAAGATAAGGAAATTGAGGGCCTTTAATGGGAAAATGATTTCCCCAAAGATCACACATGTAATATATAGAGCTGGGATGATAGAATACAAGTTTCTTGAAGGCAAGGATTGTTTTGTTTTTGTCTTTTTATCTTTGGCACCTGACATATAGTCAGCTCTTAATAAATGCGTATGGATTGATTGGTACAAGATGTCTTCATTCCAAATAACTGTTTTTTCTACTAAGCCACTTGAAGTCTAGAGATATAAAATGACTATCCATCATCATACAATAAGCAGTGGCAGAGCTTGAACTTCAACCCAGGTTTTCTGACCCTTTCTAGAGTTCTTTTCACTTAACATGCTGTAAAGCTAGGGATAGTTGCAGGGTTCAGTTATCTAGAGATACCCTGGAAGAAATAAGAATATTTCTTCTCTTCATTTGTTTAAAATAGCTTCTCATTTTGTAAGGATATGTAAACTAGGTTCTGGGCACTGTACTAAGAACTGGGGACACAAATACTTGCAACAAGAAAGACAGTCCCTGCCCTCAGATCTCTTGCATTCTGGGGGTTGGTGTTGGGGAAAGGTGGCTAACTCCAGAGAATCAGAAGTTACAGGATATGAATGAAGGATGGCTGGTGTAAATAGTATTTCCTTGCTAAATATAGTTTTAAATGAGATGAATGGTGAATCTAGTTTTTCAAGGCTTAAAAATTAATAACCCCCCCCCCCTTTTTTGTTAAATGACTGTCAGGCATATAATGCTATCACACAGGAATAAAATTCTTCAATAGCTTGGTTGTGACAAGTTTAAACTCTGGAATCAAAGATCTTTAACCTGTTTTATGTCCTGGACCCCTTTGACAGGCTGCTGAAGCTTATGGATCCCTTCTCAGACTGGGATTATTAAAGATATCAAATAATATGCATGCAACTACCAAAAACCAAAAACAAAATAACAAAACCCAAACATATTGAAATATATTTATCTGTATCTATATCGAAAGTTCACGGACCCTAATTTGAGAACTCCTATATCATGCTTTGGCTAATTAGTAAATACCAAAAAAAGTTCTCATTTTGTGCATTGATAAAACTTGCATACTTACCTGGATGCATCTTGAAGGTAAACTTGTTTTCTTTGTTGTTCATAAGGTCAACAAACTCTTTCAAGGCAGCATAGAATGGCTGTACTTTTTCAACAGGAATGTCAAATATTGTATCTCTAGTTGAGTTATTGAAGTTGATGCGAATCACTTGACCTTTATTGTCTACTCTGTAAAAAAATTTTTTTAAAAGATGCTATAATTGTAAACAACCCAGGCGCTGGCTATATGCTTATTTAAAGATACAGTCCTTTTTTCTTAGAATCATATCTCAGAAGCTCCTCAGAAGGCCTCATGGGTCTAGTTCAACTGCTAGCTAGAAGGTGAATCCCTCCCACTGGATTACAAATGTGCAGTCATAAAGTCAGAGAATCTGAACACAAGAATCACAGAAACCACAACCCTAGACTAAGAGTTCTTTCTCCAACAGCCTCAAAAACCAGTGTCCTTCAGCCTTTACTTGAAGATATCCAGTGAGGACGATCTCATTGCCTTCCAAGGAAACCCATTCTTTGGAAGAGCTCATTGTTGGGTGAGTTTTCCTTACATCAGGTCTAAATGGCAAATAATACTAATAATAATCATAATCATAACTACCATTTATGTAGTTAGTCAATAAGCATTTATTAAGCACCAACTCTGTAAGGCACGATATTAAGCACTGGGGATACAAAGAATGGCAAAAGACAGTTTTTGCCCTCGACAAATCCACAATCTTTAAGGTTATACAAAGTGCTTTATGAATATTATTTCATTTTGTCTATGTCTCTGAAACTTTAAGTCATTGTCCTAGTTCTGCCCTCCGGGTTCAAGTCAAGCTAGTCTTGCAAAATATTATAAATACAAGATGTCTCCATACTCTTAACACAGTTTTAAGCTATTAAAGCTAGGCCACACATTCCTAGTTTATTTAGCTTATCTCCATGTGGCATATTATCCACCCTTCTAAGTATTCTGGCTACTCTCTTCTGGACACATTCAAGCTTATCTGTGGCTTTTCTTAAAAGTACTAAAAAGCACTTAAAATGGGGCCTCACCAGGGCAGAGTAGACCAGAAATATTACCCCCATCTCTCTGAATGTTTTGCCTTTATTAATATAGCCTAGTATTGCATGAGCTTTTTTTGGCAGTCACATAATATGACTGACTGCAGTGGATCTCAGGGAGTTCCTTAAGATCCCCAGATCTTTTTTTCAGATCAAATATCATCTAGCCATGCGCTCTCTACTCTTTGTCTGAAGTTTTCTTTTTTGTTTTAGAATCCAAGTGTAGAACTTTATCTTTTCCCCTATTCAGTTTCATGTTTGATTTGGCCTAACCTTCTAACCCATCAAGATTTTTCCAGATCTGGGTTGCCATCTTGAATTTTAACTATCCGTTTCCAAGTTTATCATCACTTGTGAAGCACAATATCTCTGTCTTCATCAATGTCAGTGATCAGAATGTTCAGTTGTGTAGGACCAAGGACAGATGTATGGGGTACTCAATTGGTGACCACTCTCTCAATTAAATATGGAACTTTCAATGATTACTCTTTGGGTCAGGTCATTCAGTTAGTTCAAAAATTGACATTACTGCACTCTAATCTAGCTCATCTCTTCCCATATTATCCACAATTGTAGCATGAGAGTCTTAGTGAAATGCTCTGTTAAAATATAGCGTAACATAGCTATAGCATAATCCTTATTAACCAGTTGAGTTACTATGTCAGAAAAGGAAATCGGCTTAGTCTGACCTGATTTTCTCTTGAAGAAGCCATATTGCACTTTGGTGATCCATGTTTCTCTTCTCAAGCACTCAGAAATCACCTCCTTAATCACGTGTTTTAGAATCTCACTAGGTATCAAAGTTAAGCTCATTGGTTAAGAGTTTGCACATTTTAACCTCTTTCCTTTTTCATTGAGAGGATAAAGGTACTTTCCAGAAGAGGACAGCAAGCCTCTGTCTGAAAGTTGGTACAACTGAGGCAGCCTGTTCAATTGTTTTGATAGCTCTTATTGTCCAATCTGTCCCTTTCAACTTCTACATTTGTTCCTGGGCTGCCCTCTAGACCAGGGCATCTCAACCTGGGGTCTGTAAGCTTAACATTTAAAAATAATTATTTTTCGATATAAGTTGGTTTCCTTTGAAATCATTTTTTTTTTTGCATTTAAAAATGCCATTCTGAGTAGTTCAGAGGACTCACCTCTGGCAAAGAGATCTCTGACACATAAAAAGTACAAAACCTTTGCTCTAGACAAAGCAGAATAAGTTGAACCATTCTTCCACTTTGCAAGGAAATAGCTACTTGGCTTCTATAGGGTTCTAGGGGGTAGAGCTGGAAGGGACCTCAGAAGCTAGCTACTTTACTACCTCTTCCCAATTTATAGATGAGGAAACTGAGGCCCAGGGAAATTAAATGATTTGCCCAAGATCGTATGACTAGCAGGCATCAGAGATGAGATTTTAATTCAAGTCCTATGCTTGCACAGCCAATGGTTTTTCCACTGCACCACGGCTGTCTTCCCTTCTATTCTCTCTTGCTTTCTCCTTTCTCTCTCTGTCTCTGTGCTGGGCGCCTTCATTTTTCATTGTCTGGATGGTGTTTACAGGGCTTCCTTATTGAGTAGACACTGGATCCAAATTACAGATTCAAGCTCAGTTACTACCAGTATTTCAGTCTGTTCCAAAACCCCAAGGACAGAATCTAATTCTTTTGGAACAGAAGAGACAAATTGATTCAAACTTTTTGGATCAGGAATAAGAAAGAGGGGAAAAAAGAAGATGAAGAGAGTGAGTAGAGGATGGTCTATAAAACTGGAAGCCATGAGGCAGAAATGGATGCATTTTTCTCTCTATCCCCCCAACCCTCTCCTCCACCCCTTTAAAGCCTGATTGTTTTAAGAGCCAAGATCCCAAGTATTTGAGCAAAGGAATTTGCCAAGCTAAATAACGAACTATAGTCAAGGACTATTGTAACTCATTGGAGTCATTGATCTGCCAACACCAGGCATCAGTTCCAATAAACCATCTTGTCTTCAATCACTTTCCTACCCACAATAGCTTTTCAGAAACTTGAAGGCAACAGTCTTGCCTATGTCTAGACTTTTCTTCCCCAGATTAATCATGTCTCTTTCCTTCTATAGGATACTGGAGACAAATGTGAAAAACACTGTGAAAGATCCCCCAAAAAGGCCCAAAGGGCCTTTAGTATCAACAGCCAGGATTCACCATTTTCTTAAATACCTTGATCTTTTGCAATTGGCCACCACAAGTGACAGTTTGAATGCTGGGATTGCTAGCCCAGTGAAGGTTATTTTTCCTGCACTTATGTAACATAGACTTTTCATTTAAGTGATGTTTTCTAAGACTAGTTTTCTTAATTACTCTTATTGGAGAGAAAAATGTCATTTTGTTGTGTTACAAAAATTACATCATCATGAAGTAGTTAAAACTCCTTTGAGCTTCTCTGTTGGTACCTGTCTTTCACAGCACTGTAGAATCACAGAATCTAGGAGCCTGATGGGACCTTAAAGATCACCTAGTCCAACCCTATAATTTTATGGATGAACAAATATGTACTGTAAACCGTCAATTAACCTGAAGTCTAGTAACTGAAATCATGCATTAACTGGATTAAAGAAATTATAATTGACTTTTAGGAGTAATAGACAATTTTAACAAAACAAACTCAGCAAAATGAATTGAGCCCCAGAAAGATGAAATCATAGGGTCATCACAGGGTCACAAATTTAGTGCTAGAAGGGACCTTAAAGGCCATAGAGTATAAACCCCTCATTCTATAGATGAGGAAAGTGAGGCCCAGAGGGTCTTATGACTTGTCCAGGATAATGACTTATCCTAGGTCACTTGACTAGTAAGTGTCTGAGGCAGAATTTGACCCTAGGCCTTCCTGACTCTAGCTAGGTGGTGCCTGGAATCAGGAAGACTCATCTTTGTGAGTTCAAATCTGTCCTCAGACACCTACTAACTGTGTGACCTTGGGCAAGTCACTTAACCCTTTTTGTTTTCAATTTCCTCCTGTGTAAAATGAGCTGTAGAACTATAGTGTTTTTGCCAAGAAAACCCCAACTGGGCTCATGAAGAGCTAGACACGACCGAAATGACTGAACAACAACTTCCTGGTTCCTGTCCCCAGTGCCCAATCTATTGCACCATGTCAAGGTGATGGAGCTAGGTAGGGTTAGATCCAGAAGGAGAACATGGGTTCTCTGCTTTTTAATCTGATGTTTTGTTCTAGGCCTTCTCTTCTTTCTATGCTTCTTTCTCACTTTCTCTTGGCAATCTCATGAACCTCCATAATTCAACTACCATCTTCAGGCTGATGACTCTCTAGCCTACATATCCAGTTCTCACCTCTCACCTGAGCTCCAGGCTCCCATCTCCAGCTGCCTGAGGGAGATTGTCCCATAGTTATCTCATACAAATCAACGTGTAGTTATTTTGTCTGCATCCTGACCTGACTTGTCTGTGAATTTGTATCCTGCTGAAAAAAATCTAAGTTCCTTGTGGGTAAGCATTGTCTCACTTTTGCATTTGTATCCCCAGTGCATATCACCATGTTGTTTTTCAGCCATTTTTCAGTTATGTCCAACTCTTTGTGTTTCCATTTAGGGCTTTCTTCATGAAGACACCAAAGTCGTTTGCCATTTCCTTCTCCAGCTCATTTTACAGATGAGGAAATTGAGGCAAACAGGGTTAAGTGACTTGCCCAGGGTCACACAGCTGGTAAGTATCTGAGGCTGGATTTGAACTCATGAAACATGAGTCTCCCTGAGTCCAGGCTCAGCTGGGGCCCTTGTAGGCAAGAACTGTCTTCCTTTTGCATTTATATCCTTGGTGTATCTCACCATGCCCATAATAGACTCATTGACTGCTTGAGGCTTCTTTATACTAGTCGTGAGATTTTACAGTTGAAGAAATCTGAGAGATTGCCTAGTCCAACCTTCTCATTTGAGATGATGAAAAAATCCCTTTATTGGGGATTTGTTCTGTGAAGTTTGGATTGAGTCAAAGGGCCGCACTGGAGGACCTAGAAGGCCACATGTGGCCGAGGCCGCTGATTCCCCACTCTTGGATACTATTACATTGAGGGGACAGCCCCTCAAACTCATCCAATGTCTCTTCTCTCTTAGTCCCCTCCCGATCCTTACTTCCCTCCTTTGGATATGTGCAATGGGTTGTTGTATATGTTATATATCTGGTCAACCAGAATTGAACATAATGCTCCGTGTATGGTCTAACCAGCCTAGAGCACAGTGAAATAATTGCTACCCATGAAATAGACTCTATACTTCTATCTGTGGAGCCTAGGATTGATTGTGTTAGATTTATCAGGGTCTGCATCACACTGTTGACTCATATCGGGCTTGTGGTACACAGAAATCTCCTGGGCATTTGTCACACAAAGAGCTATCAAGCCATATCCTTTCCCCATTCTTGATTTAAACAATTTATTTTTTATCCAAATGCAGAACTTTACATTTATTCCTATTAAGTGAATAACAGATATCTTTATATGTGTTCTAGCCTGTCAAAATCTCTCTGAATGTTGGTTTTTCTCATCCAATGTGTTTGGTATCCCTTTCAGCTTCGTGTCATCCATAAATCTGATAGAAATACTTTTTACATCTTTAAATCATTGCTAAAAATGTTGATCAGAACATGGTTGAGGATAGAGCTCTGTGGCATGTCACTAGAAATTTGGTTCAGGCTGATATTGATCCTTTCATCCCCTTCTGTACACAATAATTAGCTAATAATAGTATCTAGTATTTATATAGCACTTTAAGGTTTGAAAAATGCTTCGTAAATAGTGTCTCATTATCTCTCTCTTAGAACTCTTAGAAGGTAGATGCTATTTTTATCTCTGTTTTACAGATGAAGAATCTGAGGCAGGAGAGAAGTGAGTACAAATCCATCTAACTACTATTGTCCAGTCCACATTTTATTCTTATCCATAGGGATACTGGGAATCTTGAAAAAGTTTCCTTCTAGCACTAAATCTATGAGAAATTTGTAAAGGTGCCTTGATGAAATCTAGTACCCTATACCTACACTACTTCCTTGTTCAATACAATGATCACAACAAGAAATGAGGTTAGTTTGACAGTGACTTTTTCTCAATGAACCCAATGCATAGCTCCACATTCCTGTTCATAAGTTCTCATGCTACCCATTTAATAATCCACATGATTTTAAAATATATTACTCACTCTATAATTTTGTGCTTGGATTGCACTGAGAAATCACAAAAGTCAACTCCGATATCTGTAAAATCCACAAAGGTTGAAGAGAGGATCTGGAATGCCTTAGGATTTTGTTCCTTGAGCTGTCGGCATACATTAAATCCATCTACAATTTCACTTTCTCCACCAGTGGCTGTTTGCTTTATGCAGTGAAGGAATTGGACCTGTAATCAAAAGGAGAAATAGTTTTTAGAAGACACTCAATTAATTAAGATTGATTGATTAAGAACACTTTTTTTTTTGTCTCCCTGATCAGGACAGTTTCAAGATTTTTATTAAAAAAATATAGTCAAGCATTTATTGCAAGTCTTTTGTGTCCAAGGCTTCACAGGGGATACACAGGAGTGTAAGACTCAGTCTATCCTTGTCTTCTAAGAGCTTACACTTTAGACAAAAGGCATTCCCAACACTTAACACAGTGCCTGGCACATACTAAGTACTTAATATATGTTTGCTGACTGACTGGTAGGTCAAATAACAATACAAGATTTTGATGACAATTCAAGGTAACACTGAAGAAATATTAAAGGGTGAGTGGTATTATAATTGCATGATGAGTGATGAAGCCAATGTATTTTTTTTTTTTTTGGGAGAGGCAATTGGGGTTAAGTGATTTGCCCAGGGTCACACAGCTAGTAAATGTCACCAATGTATTCTTAGTCAGCAGAGGGAGATCACTTCAGTTTGGGGCTAACAGAGATAGCTGCATGGAGAAATGGGGCCTTTGAAAGGTGGGTAGTTTTAGATAGTAGAGAAGGATTGGCAGGAAAATGGGGGTTGTTGGGTGGAGAACAATATGGGCAAAAGTTTGGGAACCATAATCTCATCAATACTGCCATTCTTCTGGAAACTATGTGTGCCAACCCACTCACCTATGGATCCACTCACCGTCTTGATACTTTCTCAAGCCCAAGTCCCCCTAATATTTACAGCCTCTATATATGTTGATTATTAGAATGGGAGCTCCTTGAGGGCATAAGCTGCTATCACTTTTCTATTTGTGTCCCTAGTGCTTGGCACATGGTAAAAACTTAAATGTTTTTTCATCCATTCATTTCAAAGCAAAAAGAAAAAAAGTTCAAGGTGTGTTTTAGGGGTGGCAAGCAAAATGTATGGCAGGGATGGAGTAAGAGATTAAATTAAAGAGATAGGCTGAAGCCAAGTTGTTCTCAAATATCAGGCCAAGGAATTTGGGCTCATTTTATAGGCAGTAGGGAGCTGCAGAAGGCTTCCCTTCTGTAGGGAAATGATATGATGAATGTGTAATCTCTAGAGTGATCATTATCCTGGGATAGATTGGAGCAGGGTCAGACAGAAGGAAGGAATATCACTGAAAAACTTTTATGGTGGTGCCATGGAGATGGTGATCATGACCTCAGTCAACTAGGGTGTTGGACAAGGAAATAGAAGAGAGATAGAGTTTTTATCAGTTTTGTACTAAAGTATATTAGGAATGAGAATCTTAGGTTGTTTTCTTAGGAAAATTGAAAAATCTAATTTTTTCATATTCTTCTGGGTGGAGTCCTTTTGAATTAGTTGGATATGTGACTTATTTTTATTATCACTGTGGATGTTTGTGTAAAACTAAATATAGAGAATTATTTTCAGCAGGAAGAAGCCATTTAACATCATTCAGCTGTGAAAACTACATGCCAAAGTAAAATAAAAATAAAAGCCAATGTCTGGCTGAAGGGTCCCTAAATGGGAGAGCCAAATATGACCAAATTCAGATATTAGAAGGTAGCAGGTCCAGTGAAAGGAATTTTAAAATTAGTTTGCTTGGTTTCCCTGCCTCCCTCCATCAACAGGCCAAATATAACAATTCCCTGACTCTTACTCTGACCTGAAGGTGAGGGAAAAAAGCTTCATACAGCGTACAAAGCTTGAGAGGAAGGAACAGCATTAACTCATGAGGATTTTCCTCTTTAACTTTCTTAGTAACTAGAGAGTCAGCTCTGTCCAAATGGAAAGAACACTGCATAATGCTTCCTACTTTCCCCCATCACACTAATTATGTGACATTGAACCATTCGTTTCATTTCTCTGAGCCTCAGTTTCTTCATCCTTAAAATGGACTTAGTAATCACAGTACTTAACCTCATAGGATTGCTATAAGGTTCAATAGAGAATGTATGTAATTCAAACTATGTACTCAAATTTGCACCATTGAGAGTTACAATTATGTAAAATACAGTAACTGGTTCCAATTTAGTGGAAACACAAAATGTGAATTTGAATAATGCTACCACTTCAGGGGAATTCATTATTTGCTACTTTGTAATATAAAGCATTCAACTGATCTATGACCAAACATTTATTAAAGTGCCTGTCATGTGTTGGGATCTGGAGACACACAGACAGAGATGAAACAGCCCTTCCCTCAGAGAACTTAGATTCTATTTGGGTATACTATAACCTGTCATTGTTGGCCAAAATGTATTAAAATACATAACTAGAAGGACATAGTCATGGTTGTCACAATCTTCATGGAAACTAAAAAAATAGTTTACCTCCTACCATATCAGATTGACAAATATGACAAAAAAAGAAAAGAAAACGGAGACTGTTGAAAGGGAATGTGCAAAACCGGGAATGTTAATATACTACTGGTAGAGCGATGAATTGGTTTAGCCATTCTGGAAAGAAATATGGAACCATGCCTCCCAAAGTCACTAAACTGTACAGGTAATTGATGCAGTGATAGCACCACTGGACCTATATCTTAAATTTTGGGGTCTAACGAGATAAAGAAGAAAGTAGCCATAAGTTCTCAAGATCTTCAGGGATGCAACCCCCTTCCCCCAAAGCCAGTTGTCTACCTCATATCTACATCAAATTGGAAAAGATGATGGAAAGGGAAAATAGCAAATGTGGCTGGGAATGTGCCCAAACAGGTACATTAATACACTATTAGTAGAGCTGTAAATTGGTCCAGCCATTCTGGAAAGCAATTTGGAGCTGTACCCCAAAACATGACAAAGTTGAGCATACTCTTTGACCTGTGATACTATCACTAAGCCTAAACTTTAGGGCCTAAAGAGATAAAGAAAGGTGAGAAGCACCTAACTCTCCAAAAAATATTTACAATGTTGTTGTTATTTGTAGTGGCAAGAGAGTAGAACGAAAGGGCTATTCATCAACTGAGTAATGGCAGAATAAATTATAACACTTGAATGAAATTGAATATTATTATACTTGAAGAAGATGAGAGGAGTGGTTTCAGAGAAACTTGGGGAGACCTGCATGAACTGATGCAGAGTTAAAGTGAGTCAGGAAAACGATTTTTATAATGACCGTGTTGGAAAGACAATTTTGAAAGGCTTAAGAACTCTGATCGTTGCAATGACCAATTGGGATTCCACTCATTTGGTCATTCGACAAGCATTTTTTTATTAAGCCCTTATTATATGTCAGGCACCACTGGGGAAAAACATATGGTTCCTGCCTTCAAGGAACTCATATTCTAATGAGAACCAATGATGAAGCATGTTACTTTCTGAGAGAGGTGATGGATTCGAGATTCAGAATTAGACATATGTTTTTGGACTTTGCCAAATGTGGAAACTTGTTTTGACTGCATATTAGTTACAAGGGTTTTCTTTTTCTTTTTTTCCATTTGGTGGTAGGTGTGAAGGAAAGGGAGGCCAGGGATAGCATGTTTCTTCTTCCCTTCCCTCAAATGAAATGAGAACATAAAGAAGGCCAGAAGGAGTCATAGACAAGCAGGACAACTTTGAAAATCACATGTTGAATTTATTATATACACCAAAAGAAAAGCCTATATAATAGAGATTTGCAGTTTTATATATAATCTTTTTCTGATCTGCTTTGTGTATGGAAATGCTTATTTTATTTGGTGTTTAAGTTCAGAACAAAAATGAAAAAAACCTAAAAACAAACTTGTTTCTTCAGAGTGATGGAGAGTTAAGTGACGTGATTAGAAAAAAAAAACAGAAAAGTTAACCTCAAAATAAACCAAATTCCTTGAAGATAATATGGTATAAAGGTATACTTCAGGGAAGCAGAAAAATGTTCTTAAAATCACATTTTAGATTTTGACATAAGAGAACTGCACATTTCAGGAATAAAACTTTTAAAAATCCAACTGATTTCTTTTACATATGGTAAGGACCGTGGACATCTTTGCCATCTAGATTTTTAATATAATTTTGTGAAAGAATTTTAAATGTAGGAGCCAGACAACTTAACACTTGTGCTAATCCAAATGGTTAATATGTGTCTGACATATATAAAACCAAATTTTATTCCATACAAGCGGTTCCGAGCTGAAAAGCCTTTTTATGTTACTTTGTAGCAGCATGTGATTTTTGGCTCAGATAAAGACAATGAGCTAAGCTGCATGTGGTTTGAATTAATGGAGTGAACCCACTCTTCCTGTCCCATGTTAGTGATTTTGATCAAAATGAATTCTCAACAGGTAACTAATTTGTCACCTGGACCACTTGGTACCAGTTTAGGATGAAAAAAAAACCCAACCTCAGTTGTTTGACCTGCTTTTGTTGCATTAAAATTTCAGCCCATTGGACTGAAATAATTTTATGTAATAGACATGTATTTTTTTTTAAAGTGGAAACTTGAACTATACCCATGTTAACCACTATTCCTTTGGAGCTAAAGATTTCAAGAACCAAGTTCTACCAAAAATCTCTCTGAGTATTTATCCTCTCCCATGTAATTTTAGATTTTTCATTGATCATTTTGTTTGGAATCTGAGAGAGAAGGAATCCTATTTGTTGTTTCTCACCATCTTGTTGTACCATATTAGCCAAGTGAAGAGGAAAACTTGGGAAATTGCCCAGCTTTTTCATGCAAAAATAGGTTTTTGTTGAACACTTACATGGTGCAAGACACCATGCCAAATGACATTGGAAATATGAAGTGCTGTGAAAAAAGATGTCTGAATCACAGTACCTGAGATCAAGGAACTTAATGATACTACGAAAAAATGTATAAACTATAACTGTGACTCAAAACTCGGAAGACTGGGTAGAAAGACTGGTCTAGCCTGGACTCAGTGAAGAACAGCGACTCAAAACTTGGAAGAGTGTGTGGAAAGAGTTCTGGGTCTAGCCTAGGCTCAGTACAGCAATTACTTTGTACAATGAATGGCTCATTATTAGCTATTAGCTCATGAACTTTGCTAGGTTTCAATTTTCTCTGTGTAAAATGAGTTAAACTATATAGTGTAAACTGTATGAGGTCAGAGACCACAGCTTCTCCAAACTTGATGTCTCCTGTGGAGCCCAGTACTATGTCTGAACACAATAGGAAATAATTTGTGAATTTCAGTTGAAAACAAGTATTCATGAAGCACCTACTGTGTGCTGGCCAGTGTATTAGGGATTATAGAAACAAAGAACTTCCATTCTATCGAGTGGAAACAGCACACAAATACACATCACTAAGTTTTAAATTTACTTTTAAGTAAATTTACTTAAAATATATATAAGTAAATTCAAAATATTGACCAGACAGTCCTTAAGGTCGCTTCTCATTCTAAAAATTTGTAGTTGTCTCCCTCAAAGAGTTTTTTAGAGGCTCCAATAAGAAGCACATGAAAGCATTAAAAAAAAGTCTATAAAGCACTGTTCAAATGTGAGGCATCATTATCATACAGCAGGGAAGTGTGTGGAGTCATTTAATTAGTTTTATGTAAGTTTAGATTATGTCTTAGAAACAATACGTAAGCTTGTGAAAGGCAGGATGAGCTTTTAAAAATCAAGCAGTGCCTTTGGTTTGAGGGTGTCTTCCTCTAAAACTCTGAGTTTCCCCTCTTTCTCAACTGGCTTTTGGCAGAGAAAGGGCTGAGCTGATCAGTCTGGCATTTAACCCCTGGACTTTAAGAGGTTACTAGATTCCAAACTTAGGCCATATTTAGAACAATCACATTGCATTTCTCTTCTCTCCCTCCTCCTATCCCCCCAAGGTGCCTCTGGAGGGTCACTTCTCTGTCATCATTTAGTTCAAAGAACACATGTGGTATTTTTGAATCGACACAGTAATTTAAAACATGTGAAGTCAAATATTAGATTCCAGTATTATTTGTAATAATGATAGCATGCCTTCCATAAAAAGCCCTCTCCAGTGCCTCGCTGAGTCATGGAGGTAATCCTGAGATTCTCAAAGGCCATTCCGGTGAGGTATGGACTTCAAGAGGCCCTGACAACATGGAGAGGACCCAACTCTGGGTCTGGCAACGACATATGCAGCTGATGTCTGAGGATGAACCTATGTTAGCCTAGAGACCGGGCCCCAAGTGTCATATAAACGTGTATGTCAGGATCTATAGCGATAACATAGTTTTGGCCACAATAACTCATGAGACTATTCACTAAGTTATGGAGGTGATATTAAGATATGTTGCATTAAGTGGAGAAAGTGTCCATACTTCATTTCTATTTGTCTAAATCCAACACTTAATTTTAGCCCTCTCTTCTTTAAAATCTCCCCTCACCATTCCACACTACAAAAATGTCTCATGTCTGAAATCTATTAGCGCATACTGACAGCACCATTCTTTTTCTTTATTGTAGAGTCATCTCTTATGTATGCATGACCTACGTGAAGTGTAGAAACCATATCTTGTGCGGTTTATACATAAAAGATTTTTCTTTATTGGCAGGGTAGGGCTTTAGCTAGATCTGTGATTTCATCATGTATGAGATCCTGGTAAGGAACTCACTCTCTTAATACATGTGGGCATTTCTTCTGCATCACATATTGTTAGGAGTCTGGGGAATTGAAATCTAAGTGAATTGCCCAGGGTCACACAAGCAGTCAGTGTTAGAAGTGGGATGTGGACCCAACTCTTTCTGGTTCTGAACCCAGTTCTTTATGCTAACTCTCCTACATAGAAGGAATTTGGTAAATGTGGATAGCCAGAGATATACTGTGAATCATCCAGGTCTGAAGAGGTTTGGCTCTTCACCTTCTACACTGGACTTGAGTAAGGGACCTGAGTTCAAATCCAACCCTAATGATTACTTCCTGTGTGATCTTGATCACTCAACTTCCCTGGGCCTTAATTTCCTCATCTGTAAAATGAGAGGTTGGACTAGAAGGTCTGTAAGGCCCCTTTTAGTTCTAAATCTCTGATCCTCCATGCCAGTGTCTGAATAATCCTCCTATGCATTTCTAGGAGCATATCACTCTTGTATTCAAAAGGTTTTAATGGTGTTCCATGCATCCATTGAATAAACTTATGATCTAGGTATTGAGTGCACTCCAGACTGGTTCCAACCTACCTATCCAGCCTTATCTTATACTACTCCCATTCATTGTGGTATAATGGATAGAATGCCGGACTGGGAATCAGGAATAGCTTCATTCAGTTCTATAACCCTGAGTTCACATAGCCAGACAGCTGTAAAATGGGGGGGTGGGTGAAGGGGAGTGTCTTAAGGACTCTTTTAGCTCTGAATCTGTGTCCTAGGATTCTACCTACTCTCAGTTCCAGATAAATTTTTCTCTTAATAATAATACTGATAGTAATTAGCATTTATGTAGTTCATTCAGGCTTGCAAAGGGCTACTTATACAGATATTACCATTTCATTTGATCCTCACAATAACCCTGGGAAATAGGTACTATTATTATCCCCATTTTACAGAGGAAGAAAATGAGACTGAAAGGGGTTAGGTGATTTGCCCAGGGTCATGCAGCTTGTAAGTGTCTGAGGCTGGATTTAGACCCAGGTCTTCCCAACTCCTGGTTCAGCTGTCTTATCCACCAGGACACTCCGTGGCACCTTGTGATTTGTTCTGGTCCCTGCTTCAGCTTCAGCTTTTGTTCCTTTGCTCATGCAATTTCTCATGTCTGGAATGGAATTGTGATCAGCTTCTATTTCCATCTGGTGATTTTCCTCCAATGTTTCACTAAGTTGTCATTTCTTCTATGATACAGGCAAAGCATTTTCTTCCTTAATTTTCTGTGGACTTCTGTAATGATCTCACTCACCTTTGTCCCAACTGTTTGTGGATTTGTTCTTTCTTCCATTAAGTTGCAAGTTTCTCATGAGCCAGACCTGTATCCTCTCTATCTTTGCATTCTAATACTGAGCATAGCGTCTTGTACATTCATACACCTAACAAATGTTGAAATGTGAACTGAACGTCGTTATTGACAGTTGACAAAAACTTAAACATCTCTCTATAATTCTGTAGGTATATGCTGCCTAAAGTAATTTACTGATTCTATGAAAATATGAATACAGGTGAAACTATGTTACAGGGGGTGGATCAATTCCACATAAACAATGTTAAAAATCTGTTAATCAGCTGGGTGATGTTACTGGGCTAGATTTCCCCAGTATTGCTAGCAGGTTTGGTTAGAATGTATTAATGATGATCATAGGACCATATATTTATAGCTAGAAGGGACTTTTGGAGGTCATCCGCTCTACCCCCCTCATTTTACAGATGAGTAAACTGAGGCCCCGAGAGGCTTGGCACTTTTGACCAAGCTTACCCATGTAGTAAATGGTTAAACTGAGATTTAAATTTGGGTATTCCGACTCAAAAACCAGTGCTTTTTCTCACTGTACCGTAGCATACTCCTTGCGGATGTTATTGTCAAAAATGTTCACAGAAGCCATGTTACATTGAATAAGCTTATATATATATATATATATATATATATATATATATATATATATATATATATATATATACGTTGTTGTTTTTCAGTCATGTCCAACTCGTGGTGATCCCATTTGGGGTTTTATGGCAAAGACACTGGAATGGTTTGCTGTTTCCTTCTCTAGCTCATTTTACAACTGAGGAAACTGAGGCAACCAGTATTAAGTAACTTGCCCAGGGTCACACAGCTGGGAAGTTTCTGAGGTTAGATTTAAACCCCACTCTTCCTAACTCCATGCCCAGCATTCTGTCTACTGACACCTAGCACTCTCTCTCCCCTCGCCCCTCTCCTTCTTCCCTCCAGATATAAACATTTCTATACATGAAAGACAGAAGAGGATTGTATATGAAACTACAAATCTCATATGTGTGTATGTATACAAACCCACAGTAATAGAATAAATTCAACATATTATTTCCAAGCTATCCTGTTTATCTGTAAGAATGAACTTAGATCAGACTACTTAAGCTTTTTTTTTTTTTGTATGTGTGTGATGGATTCCTGTGGCGCTATGGTGAAGCCTCTGGACGCTTTCCTCCTCAAAATAATATTTTTAAATGCATAAAATCAAATGAAAAAATGAAGAGGAAACCAATTATGTTGAAATATAATTATCAAAATATATATGAAAAGATTCACAGCCCCCAGGTTAAGAATCCCTGACCTATATGTAATACATGCACACACAAAATTAGAATCTCAGAATTGAAAGGGAACCCTGAAGGCATCATGTAGTCCAACCCATAGCCATAGCTACATCCCTAACATTCCTCGACAAGTGGTAATTCAGCGTGTAATTGAGTATCTTCCAGGGGATCTCATGGATGCATGTAAATACACGCATAAACATACACACATATGCAAGTTTCTCTATGGTTTATCTTATATATTGTATATACATGTCTATATACTCACACATAATTCAAGGACATTCATGTTACAGATTTAGGATTTCATAATTGAAAGGGATGTTGAAGGATATCTAGTCCATTCCATTTCTAAAGCAATCTCAATAGCATTCCTTGACAAGTGATAAGCTTTCACTGATGAACATATAAGTATATACATCAATCATAAATGTATGCACATGTACCCTTCATTATTGTATATCTTGCATATAATTTAGATGTGTGTATATGTATATGTATGTATCCACACATATATCTCTCACACACACATACATACACAAGGAACCCATAATCTGTTGGCTTCAAAATGATTGAAAAAATTCAGTTCCCTGGCCTGCCTTGTGGAAAAAGTGATGAGGCTCACCTTACCCCAGGTGGGTGATGTAGTGCCGGATAATCTGTGTGAAAGCTTAGCTTTCCAGTTGTGTAAGCCACGTTATTCGCATCGATTTTGTCTTGTACTTGCCAAGTATGTCTGTAAAATAAGAGAAACACATGTTTGCACAGGCTGCTGCCAAGCCAGACAGACAAAACGTGGAAGTATGAACTCGATACCCAGAGGTGGCTGGGCCTCTTCAGAACAGAATATGAAGTGGTGGGTGAGGCTGATGAGTGGAACAGGGAGTCCCTGGGGTCCTGTCCTGCTCCAATCAGCCACTGGCAAGGAGGCTTCTCCCATTCCTACTCCCTGTAAAGAGGCATTGCATGAATGCTTTTTATCCAACAAGCTTTCTCCAGGGCTAGCTGCGATGAGCCCACAGCTGCAGCGTTCCAGAATAGGTCCCTTTTCTTGTTGGGGCTGAGGGTCAGCCTTTAGCTTGATTGATACGAGGTGTATTTCTTCATGACATTTTGATACTCATGAGCATTCCTATCCTATAATTCACTCCAGCTGTTCTATGAATATTTTGGTGTTATTTCTTGATTTTATGCACATATGTATGGATATATGCACATGGAAACCGACCTCTGGCCTTGGTGTTTCCAATGCCATGCCTAAAGTCTTGATGGTTTTTTAACTGGTCTCCAATCTTCTCCAATAAGCACAAATTCTCTGTGCAGAAGGCTGGGACACATAGCAAGGGAGCCAAGAACCATGAGTAGAATCTCTTTTCTATGTGACGGCTTTCCCCATAGTTAAAGACAACTGCCATGTTGTTGCTTACATGATTGTTTTTCAGGCTAAACATTTCCATTCCCTTTAGCTGCTCTTCCTAAGGCATGATCTCCAGCCCTTAACCATCCAGGTGACCTTCCTCTGGGTTTTTTCCACAGAGGATCAACATCCTCCCTAAGATATGGCACCCCGAGCTGAGTCTAGATGGGACCTGACCATGGCAAAATATAGGACCTTATGCAGAATCCTTTATTTTTCTTGGGCTCCTACATAAACCACACGGAGATGCATACTGAGCTTATGGTCTGCTGATACTAACTAGATCCTAGTTAGAGAAATTATTGTTCAACCACATCTCTCTACCTTATATTTTGTTGTTGTTGTTTTTTTTTTAACTCAATGTACAACTCTACATTTAACACCATTAAATTCTGTCTTAGTAAATCAGGCCCAAAGCAAAATTCTTTGTGCCTGGAATTCCCTTTCCCCTCTCCTCTGCCTGTCCCAAAACTTACTCATTCTGCAAAGGTCCTAATCACATCCTATTGTCATCCGGTTATTTTTCAGTTGGGTCTGACTCTTTGTGACCCCATTTGGGGTGTTCTTGGCAAAGATTCTGGAGTGGTTCTTTCTCCAGCTCCTTTTACAGATGAAGAAATGGAGGAAAACAGGACTTGTCCAGGGTCACTAGTGAGTGTCTGTGGCCGGATTTGGACTCAGATCCTCCCAACTCCAAGCCCGGCACTCTATCCACTGCACTACCTAGCTGCTCTTAAAAGGGCCTTCTTTGAGCACTCCATCTTACCACAATCTCTGTTATTCTTGAACTTGAGCGACACTTTCTGATCGAGCCATTATTTCACTCATATTGGTAGTTATTATTTTTAAAAAATAAATATACCAGTCAGCCAATAGGCATTTATGAAGCACCTGCTTAATAAGCACCTACTATATGCCAGTCATTTTGGTAGGCACTAAGGATTCAAGTACAAAGAATGAAACAAGCTATACTTTCAAGAAGCTCATATAAAGTTCCTACTATGTATATATGTCCTACTTCCCCACTAACTTGTAAATTCCTTGAACGTAGGGACTATCATACATCACATAGACATATAATATCACATGTTATTTAAATTTTATTATTTATATTATATGCCATATCATATTAAATTGTTATACTATATTATGTTATGTTATATTAATATATATTGTTACATGCTATAACATGGTATAATAAATATTGCTTGCCTCCTTGAATTCTTGGGGGGTAGGGGAAGGATCTTTTATTGAGCAGAGATAATGCCATGTTAAGGGGTTTTAAAAATACCTTATAAGGAGTGTAAACTATAACACTGTCTTTTCTTTAAAATATAGCAAAGTCACACCCTCATCTATCACCTGAGAATATCTTTCTTATTGAATAAGTGTACAGTTTCTTCCCTGTCCTGGGGACTAAGAATGAATTTCTTTATTTCTCTGTTTTTCTCACCTAAATTTAAGATGGAACCACTAGCAAAGCTTTCGGAACTATACCAGGCAGTGTAGGGTCATGAACTGAAAAGCTGACTGAGTGAACAGAGCAGAGGTATTTATAACTTATTGCAGCACATTTCAAGGTTGAATCAAACAATCCATTATATCGTAGCAACTGGAGCCAAGACATATCTGTTCTTTATGGCGTCCATGTAATTGGATGCACTCCATAGGTAACACAGAATTCAGATCCACACTATTGTCAACATAGACAATTTATGCATAATCAAGATTTAGGAAATTTTAAAAGGGGCGGGGGGAGGGAAGGAAAGGGAAAAAAAGGCTCATTTCACCAAGATGTGGAATGTGTCTTCTCCTCTCCATGAAGGCAAGACTCCTGACTTGTCCGTGGGACATGTGTTTTGAATTGAATTGATTTTTATCCCCCTGCCCCCAAATGGTGATGGTTTTTCCTTGATCCTCTTCTGCCCACTTTTTCATCTTGTCCCCTTCCTGATCAAGGGGAATCATTTGGGAGACAGCTGGCTGGAGTTCAGGGTGCCATCTGTTTCCAAAAAGCAGCATTTTTTCTCTTTTTGAAGTTAACTGGATCTCATAGGGATCAAACCTGAAGCTGCGACCTAGGCTTTGTCAGTGTTCTTTCTAGCTAACTGGCAGGTGATGAGTAAATATTTCTCATGCTCCCACATTAACTTAGGCATGGTATAGGACGAACCAGACTGAAAGATTGAACCAATACAGAAGTGAAGATGGGACTAATCAGTTCTGGTCACAACGTATTTTGGTAATGGTTATAGAAAAGGTCTGGGAAGGATCTTGTGAAGCCATCTTTCTCCTGGGTGGAACTGAACCATTCCACAGAGATAGCTATTTATCTTCTATACCTATCATTCTTTTTTTTTTTTTGCAAATATTAAATCTTCAAGAAAACAGCAGAAATAAATGCAATGAACTTGACTTTTATAGAACACATACAGCCACATTGCTGTACCCTTCAGTTTCATGGGGCTCATACACACACACCTACGAATATATGGCACCCATATATATGCATATTGTACATATGTACATGCCCACACATATACAGACATACAACACACATGTATGCACGCACACACATACACACACAGGTATGCACGCACACATGTACATGGTATACGCACACATACGTAGACATGGATATACACACACATGCACACATGGATCTATGCATGCATGTTTATGTATACATACACATAGTACAATACACATGCACTAGCATATACATACACATGCAACACATGTATACACACATGCATACACACATGTACATGCACACACATGCACTTACGTATATATGTATACATGTGTGCATGCAACATGTATATACACATGCACACATGTATATGTATTTCAGGAAAATCTGGGGAAAGAGGGTAAAATTAGAGGGTCGATATACTATAGGCCCATTTGTGTTTCCCTGTATGCGATATTCCAATCCTTTGCATCTTTCTATAAGTTGATTTTTCAGGACTGGACACTCTGTCTTCCACTTCAAGGCTAATCTCACCTACCACCTCTAGTCCCCCCAATTGTTAGAGCCCTGTACCACTAAAACCAAATTCCTTTGTATCTATCCTCGTCTACTTTCGTATCTACTGGTTCACTGCATCACCATTACCCTCAGTAGAATGTAAGCTTCTTGAAAGAAGGAATAGTTTATTTTTGCCTGTGGACCTCAGGACCTGACATGTAGTGGTGCTTAAAAAATGCTTCTTTAATTAAACTACCTTGAACTGACTCTATGGAAAGCATCGTATTCCCTTATTTTATATGGCCTGGCAAGTCTGTAACTTGCCCAGGGTCTCACAATTAATACATGAGAGGTCTAGTCCTGGATCTGTGTCTTTTGATTTAAAATCTATAGCTCTTTCCACAGTTACTTGCCTCTCAAACAGGGATGTGCTGGAGGTGGCTCAAAGCTTCTCATAAGAGTTGATCATTAACATCCAGAAGTGGGCAAGCTACAAATCGGGACCTGATTTATTGCTTTGTTGTTTAAACTTAAAGAGACGGGGAAAATGCTAATAATGAAGATTAAATTTACAAGTGTGTAAGGCATGTTCTTTTTTTTTTTTTGAGAGCTGGCTGTTAAACATATACCAGCACATATGTGGTCTTAACTGGAGAAGGAAATGGCAAACCACTCCAGTATATCTACCAAGAAAACTCAAATGGGGTCGTGGAGAATTGGACACACCTGAAAAATGACTGAACAACCATGACAATCTGCTTTCAAGGTACTAAATATTTACCAAATTGACTTCATATTAATAATAATTTATAGAGTGACTTCAGCAGTTATATTTAAAAAATTAGTTTTCTGTTCTACTCTTATCAAATGAGGGTCCATGAAAGCTATATTATGTGGATGAAAATGCATTTCAGTACCTTTTTTTTTTTGGTGCATGGATATCTTAAGATCTAAAACAAATTATGAACAAAACAAAGGACAATTTTCCATTTTTATGTGACATTCCTTAAATTAAAACAAAAAAGAAGCTTTGCGGCATTTGCAATATGAAAAAAAAACTAAAAATAAATGTGTGACTCTGAGCAGGTCCCTTAACTTATGAGAGCCCCAAGCATCTCTCTGATGTGAGAGACTGCAGATATGAAGAGTTCCATTACTGCAGGAAGTTTACGCATTAAGAGTTACCTTGATCAGTGAAACCCACAGATCTTGACCAAGCCTACAAAAAGTAAAGAACCATTTTAATACTAAAAAATCATTCAATTAGTATGATAGCTTTGGGTGTTTGGAGGACCTGGGTTCAAATCCTCCTTCTGATGCTTACTATCACCATGACCAGGCACAAGTT